AATCGTCAAGAGGTATGACAACCTTAAAAAGCTATGACGATTGTTTTTCCCAAGCCATCGTAACAATATGAAAAAGTAATCCTGCTGAGTCCTGAATCATTGACATCGGTCAAAAATTCTGAGATCACACACATGCAAGCATACGAATACGCACAAAAGATTTTTTATGATCTACCAAGTATTTAGTTAGTTATCAATGTTACTATCATTCAAATTATTACCTTTAAAATTATGAATTAGCCTTGCCGGCTATAACTATTAACGTAATAAATTATTTAATAGTCAGTTGTTGCGTAGGATTCTATGTACGTGACACAGTATTAAAAATAAAATTTTTTTAACGTGCCCGAAAAAAAAAGTGTTGAGACAATATTCATAAATTAAAATGAAAGTTGCAATAAGAAATTTAAATAGAATACTGAATTATATTAAAAAAAAAAAAAAATCTAATGGCAATCAGAATTGAACCCCAAATCGCCAAAATATGCCGTCAAAGGCATAAGCCCTAGCCATCTCAGCTATTCAAACTTTAGACCTCATATAACCTAAAGTCATATATGTTCATTGATACCCTTCGGAGCTTGGCATACAGTTCATAGCGATTATGATAAGTAAAAATAATAATTTATATTTAAGGTGCTTATAGCCATACTATCAACCTCAAAAAATATTCCAAGCTAAATATTTTTTCAACGTACTTTGATACGCAGTACTAAACAAAAATCCAAAGTATAAGAAGAATCAAAAAATAAATGTCTTGAAAGTCTAAGCTTCCAATTGCGTAAACATTTATTTGTATGATTTAATTTTCGAAAAATAATATGGCTAGCCTCTCTTAAGCTTTCATATGTTATAGAGAATTGTTAAATGAAAGGTTTTTTATTTTATAAATATTAGATGTGAAATCTTTTCTTCTTCTCTATTTCCCCTTAATTTCTAAGACCTTATTTAAGAAGTTAGTATATAGCGAGAAAGACTCGTCCCTTTTTTTCGCTATGATATACGCGGGTATATAGTTATATAGCTGTAGTCGGCATTTCCATGCACCACTCTTCTCTCCGTAGGCACATATTCAGTATACCCCTTCCACGTGTCTCCAAAGTATGTGCCTACATGCCCATTTCCACGCGAATCCGTAGGCACACACTCGGTATACCCCCTCCACGCTTCTCCAATAAAAAAAAAATATGTGTGCCTGGTTCGACCGCTTGGCCGCGACGGAGCGCTCGAAACAGTGGCCAAAAGTGAACTCGCGCCGTAGCATTGCAGTCAGCAATCTCTCTACGAATCTCTGGTTTTAGTCTTATCTTGACTCCCGTGACTCGCAAGGACCTTATACACGTAAGGGATAACGTGTTGACTGAGGCAACTCGGGCGCATTTCGAGAGCATCAATAGTATCTGACTACGCTAAGGAGCTAGGAACAATGAAAGAGGCTCACCGGAAGTGGTTTCGTTGATAGCAGAGAAGGCAGAAACCGCAACATCTTACTGGCCACGAACTCATTGGTATAGTTTAAGGAACCACTGGAAATTACTGCACGAAGCAATAGGAAACTTCAAAGCAGCAGTAACAACAATCAGTGATAGTTGTAAGTTATCTATCAGTTATAAAATTAACGCTAAACATGCTTAAAGTGACCCGAATAAATTTTGTTTGAAAGAATGAATTGTTTTAATTGTTTTAATAAAGAAATACATTAATTAAAATTATACATGTTATTTTAATAAATGTTTTTACTAAACTAAAAAGAACAAATAAAGCTCCCGAGCTGAATCGTAAGAGACCTACAGATGACACTAAAATAAAACGGTTAATACCTTACTTTAAACAAATCTGGTCATAACACAAGGTTGTCTCATTCATTTATACTGCAATGTCTCAAAAACATTGTAATCGCTCACCGCGAAAACTGTTTAAGCGATTTTGCTGGAATCTTATATACTGATTTTTTACGCCTGCTAGATATGATTTACGCATGGTTTTTTGTGTTGAAAAATTAAAAACAATAGTAATAATTGAGCTCAAAGTTAAGAAGCGGCATTGACTTAGTAGGAGGCTTGATTGATACTGCTACTGGTCGCGGGTTCAATTCCCGGTGAGAGCAGATTTTCTTACAAACTGTATTCAGTGGAAAAAGTTCCTATGCAACCCTGGCTGTTTTTGGGGCGGATTTTTCTATAGAATCTTCCTTAAGAGTAATTCTAAGGTTTTTTCTTTGCCCCAAAGGTCTTCGGGCCAAGATAAATGCTGAACAGTGTTGGGGATGTAGGTAGGGATTAGTGGATCTGATGCTAGGTGCCATGTAGGGATTGCTGGCCTTACCGACGAGGAGTGGTTCTTGAAATATGAAGCTTCTCTAGGGATGCTAATTAGCCTGGATCCGATGCTTAGGCAGAGAGCGCCTACTTATCTGGCAAGAAGTGGACCTCCTGAAGTACGGAGTCTTTTGGGGAAAGGCTACACGGTGGCGAGTTGACCTGTTGCACCGTTGGTACAGATAGTGTTAGCTTAATTTGCAAGGTGTTTCACCGAAGTTACTACCACTGTGCCTATGGTATGATAGGTATTGTCACAGATGATTGGTAAACGGGTATGGCAATACACCCCCCTTACATAGGTGGTGAGTGGGTAGCTCTGGTGGCTAGGCCGATAGGCTGTTCTGGTAACCCGGCCAAAAAAATCAATTATGCTCAAAGTTTTCTAAGTAACCATAGCTTTGAATTTTAGTTAAGTAGGTTTTACTAGGTGGTGTTGATGAAAATTTAAGATCATAGTTAGAGTCAGTAAATCTGGTGATAATATTCTCTAGCCAAATGTCGATTACCATATTCGTTTACTGGCGGTACATTATAACAGAGCTGTTTGTTGTGCAGCTGAGTATCCCAGCTATCGACTGTACTTTATCAATCTTTAATGGGCAAGCTATCTATGCCGATTTTTACTCTGGATCTTGAAAATGACAAAATGCCACGAAAAAAGTAATTCTGAACACCATCATCTCCAGCTCAACTCCAAGAGACGTCAGGTGAGAGAAAATTTAGCTTTAATGCTTTAAAGTGTCGTGGTTGTCTTTCCAACTTATCTGGGCCGGAGCCCTTTTTGCTGAAATAGCAGGCTAAATTAAGTGATATCTGGGCCGTTGATAGAACATTTGCTCTGGTTTGTACCTTTATCGACGTGCAACTGGCTTGACGTTCACTTAACTACCATAAATCTCATCAGTTCGTTTAAGAGAAATTTGAAGTTAAGCTACCCTGCTTTTAAATATATTTTTCGTATCTATTTATTTTTTTTACTAATAATCGTACTGCGGGCCTCCTTTTGCTGTTTCATCTCAGCCCTACTATATTCTCTTTTATCTTACTGCAGCTTAAAGTCCCGCACTTCTCTATTATTCTTGCTTACAATGTCCAATTTTATCATGTTTGTCTTCCTACAAACAATTTTTTTTTTCTAGTCTTAAAACCTACAAATGATAATCTAAAAAAATCTTAAAGGATCCTGTTTCGTTTCAATTTCTTAACTTTTTACTGTGTAGAACATAACAATTTGTATTAAACAGCTTAAAAGCATGTTTTTCCTTATAATCTTATACTTGTCCTTTTCTTTTTAGGTCTGTACTTCATTTGTGCGGTATTTTACTTTTTCTTTAGCTCAAGTCAATGAATTTTGCCATTCACTATCATGTTAAGCTGCTATCTTAAATCTTTGAATTTTGTTACTTCCTTGATTCCCTCATTCTTGTAAAGCTACTTTTTGCTTGTCATTATAAACTATGTTTCAGATTTTTTTTTTGTGACATTACAACTTTTTCCTTAAAAAAATTTGTTAAATGTTTCGACTGCATTTATCAAACCTATTTTAAACTAGCAAAACTAGATTATTAAAACCAAAAAAATAAGATGCCTAGACCGCTGTTTTAAGAAACAAATGACAGATCTACCTGCTTTTTTCCAAGCCTTGAATAGTTTCTATTTATTGTAAATTCCTTAGGACAGCTGAATGTATTTTGTAAGACCCTTCATCATCTTTTAATTACTGAAATCATACGCAAAATTTTAATTACTGAATGCATACTTAGACAATTTTTCTTAATTATTTATTAACACTTTTATGGACTTTAGTCAGCACTCATTAAATTAAAAACGTTTTTTTATTAAATTGTTACTTCTTTTAAGAACTTACATTTTTAATTTGAAAGCACAATTGCTAAAAATAACAGTTAATACGATCTATTTATAATTAAATGGGTCCATGATTCAGAATAACACGATGGTTAAAAGATCCTAGGTGTGGCGCAGTATAAGTACAGTAGATTTAAAATACGTGAAAAGGATCATATTATGAATGGCAAAAATTTATTGCAATATGCAATTTTCTGCAATAACTTACCTTTTAAATTATAAAAGAATTGTTTGCATTCATGATTCCAATTATTTATTTTCTGCTTTTTTATCAGTATCGCCATTAATAATCATATTAAATATTTAAAAAAATTATTATTTTGAACTTTTTTTTTGTTTAAAATAATATTTTAATGAAAATTAAATACACCATTACATTCTTTAGCATATAGGGCTTAGACAAATCTATAGTCATCATTTCTTATTGAATTTTCCTTGTAATTTTTTAACAGACTAAGTATTTAAATGTACCTTTTACCCTTATTTAGTGGTTAGTATTGTTTTTAAAATAATTTTCTCATTTTTTTGTTTGGAATAGTTGACGAAGAAATCTGACCCGTTAAACTACAACAACCTAGTTTTTACAATAATTTAATTATCGTCAACTAACTTCTTAGCAAGCCTTAGAAATAACTTTATCTGTAAAAATTTCAGGTTTTTTTCAATAGAAGTATACGTAAAACATACTATTACACTAATAAATATAATTATAAATTTATTTAAGTAGTTCATAAAACATTAAAGTACAAAGAATTTGTATTGAAAAGTACACAGATGATTTTTCTAAAAAATTGAAAATATTTGTAATTACAGGGTATGCCTGAAGCATGGGCAAGATTGCTAATGTCTAGTAATATTAGCAAACAAGAACAGAAGAAAAATCCTCAAGCTGTTTTAGATGTCTTAAATTGGTATGACAATAGTAGTAAGGAAGTAAAAGGATCTAAATTCATGACTACAATAAAAACATATGGAGGTAACAAATATTTGCATTATTTTATTGTATAAACTTCATTGATCTCATCATTTTAATATAACAGCAGCTGTAACATAGAGCTTCAATGGCTTGGTGGTTAGCGTGTTAGCCTCCTAGCTGAAGAAACTCAAGGGGTCGTGAGTTCGAATCCCATCGAAAATTATCGAGATTTTTTTCTTCGGCTTTTCCGATGGGATAAGTAACCAGGATGCCGAAACACCACTTATCCAAATTTTCAAACCGAATAGTAAATTCTTTCTGGTGATGTCAGGACCTCCAGGGGCTTCCTTTTCGAAGGAAAGCCAACGCTCAGCTAACTAAATCATTTAACTCATAGGGTAAAATTATTAGTAGTTTCATAAAGGTCGGTACAGCAAGTTGGATGGTTTATTGGAAAATATCTTTCCAATAAACTTGATAATAGCGAAAGTGTATTTGAGACCATCGCTGTGCCCTATAATTAGTATCTAGTAGGATGGATGACTAAATTGTTTAAGGGGAACTTTGCAAGGAGCCCGACGAAAGCCTCGCGTATTTAGAGAAAAAAAACGCAATTATGAAAAAAAAAACAAGGAAGGTCGAGATTAGGGTCATAGGATACTAAAAAACTCATTGGGTGTACATGGAACCTTAGAGCTACTACTTTTTTTTTGGCTGGAAGGAAAACTGACTTGATACACACAACAGGAACAACAGTAGAATGAGATTTAGTGGATTTTTTTACTAGACCACGAATACCCACTAACTCCCCCCCCTCATGTCGCGTGTCTTTAGTTCCACCCTTGAATCGCCTCTGAACTACTTCAGGGTAGAGCCACCAGGGAGGACATGGTATCTTACAGCATTAGCGAGCAATCGTGCGGTATGAATGCTTGAGGTGGGCCCACAAAAACGAGCACCCGTTGTGTATAGAAGTAAGCAATGATTGTGACATGCTTCTGAGATACAGTAATTACACTGACAAGAAGCCAACACAGGCATACTAGCGAGTTATTGCGGTCAGCAAGTTTCAGGATCTCTCTTTTGCTGCCGTGGGGGCGCTGGCAGTGAGTGAAGCCGAATGATGAGGCTAAGGTAATGCCTGGTACCACATGTGATATGGCAGCTCTCCTTATAAAAAAATACGTGGTGGGTTAACTTATTTAGGCTTAATATCACTGAGGAGGCTACACGGTGGCACTTTTTTCGGTGCATTGTTTACGCCAGTCCATTCTCGTGGATCCTTTGCTCCAGTCATGGGCTTGTATACCTGTTTTTCGACACTTCCTCAAAACTTTTCACTCAACGCTAAGGCAGCCTTCGCAGGTGGGACTGCGGGAGATTGGTGACTCTTGGCTGGCCTGAGCAAGTAGCACCCTTCTCTGGTAACAAAGAGGGCTGCTGCGCTGGTTTTAGCCCTTTCCAGATCTTTATTCTAGCAAAAAAAGTAGTGCTGGTCTTCACTGGTCAGCATGCCACAAAAAAGATACGACGATGAAGAACGTTAATGCAAAACAAAAACCCCCAGTGGTAAGCTTTGAGAAGAAATTTGCTGGCAGTTCTAATCCGGTGAAAGTCCAAGTGACTGTTGCAGGCCCCGTAGATTCTGGGAAAGGGGAGGGGCACGCAAAGACGTATCAGGTGGTCAACAAGGCTTATTAAACCTCAGATGACCATTACTGGAAAGAAGCCGTAAGCCAGGAAAATGATTTTAGTGTCTTCAGCAACCAGACGCAAGGCGAGCTCGCCTCCATGGAAAGAAATAGTGCAGAATCAAAGCTGAAACAAAATAAAGAGATCGAGAAGGGTCTTGAAGCCATCAACTAGAAGTATGGTAACTTAGCTAAGGCTAAAGATGGCCTTAAAGCTGTTCTTAAAGACCTTAAATTGGCAAATATCACCAGAGAGGTGTTTCTTAGTAATGAAGAAAGGCACTATAGATTTTAAAAGGAGTGCTTTGAATCATTTTAGTATAGGCAGAAGAGAAGGGGTAATTTTAGACGGTATGGCCAGAGGAAAATCCTAAACACCACTCTTGAGAAAATAAGACAAAAAACTTAGGAGTCCTTTAGAAAGCTCTAAAAAAAAGGAAAGTATTGCGACTACAAAAAAAAAAAAAAAAAAAATGCGCGATGGCAAACAGAAAAAGGGTGTTCCAAGCAGTAAAAGAAACCATAAGGAAGATTCAAATACGACGAAAAAAGTTTTAGTAATTGTAGGTGAAGGGAAAACCTTCACTGGAGTATTAAAGTCCATAAAAGCAGGTTGAAACCCAGACTGGAGCTATTGTAGAATGTGTTGTAGCCACAAAAAATAGAGATGTACTCTGCAAAGCCAAAGGAGTAAAATATATTGCAAATTTCACTCAAAATGTTGAAAAATCAGTAGCTGGCCAAGAAAGAGTGGTAACCCTTTGCACGAAAAATGACGCTAGGAGTACGGGATCTGGGCAGTATCGTTAAAGATGAAGTAATAAAGGAGTCATTTGAAAAGGTTATTGGAAGCAGAAATCAAGACTTAAAGGTTCAACTTCCTGCAGCAAACGCTAAGAGCAAAAAATGGCGTTACTTACCCTTCACGAAATAGTTGCTAAAGAGGTTGAACATGCGGGCCTGGTCAAAGTTGGATTCGTCTCCTGCCGTGTTAAGAGAAAGCTTGTTGTAACATGGTGCGTCAAATTTCTAAAGTATGCAGATGTATTCTATGACTGCAAAGAAGAAGACAGAATAAAGCTGAGCTTTAAATGTGGAACTTCAAACAACTGCAAAAAAGACTGCAACAGTACAGTACAACGTTTCTTTTGCTATACAGGAGACACGCAACACAAAGCTGGCAGTGGGCCCAACATTTAGACAAGCGTTAGACAAAACCATGAAAAAGGCCTAAGTGGCGCAAAAGTGAAGAGGCCAAACTTCTAGAAGAAGTGTGAGCTAATGTGGACCCATGTTATGCTAAGTACTCTTACTTATCTCCCAGGTAGCTTCATCCTGAGGTAATGATGACATGATTCCAGTGCAGAACTATAACCACGTGGCATGGAGGGTAGGTGTTAGTCGATTTTAGTGGTCTCATAAAAAAAATCTACTAAATCCCACACTACCGCTGTTCCTATGGTGTACATTAAGGCATACTACTACTACTACTATTACTACTACTACTACTACTACTACTACTACTACTACTACTACTACTACTACTACTACTACTACTACTACTACTACTACTACNAAAAAAAAAAAAAAAAAATATGACATCGGCGAGAATCGATAACCTGGCTAGTTAGCCCGTCAGGAACAAAAGGTTTAGTCCACTCGACCGTCGGCGCTCGTACCTGCAATGTATAAGAACTCGTATTTAAGTTGCAGGAAGTGGACGGGGCTTAAGTTAAGGTATAGGTATAGAGGGGGCTCGGACTACTTAAGAGAGGAGAGGGTGACTACGCACTGTGCATGCGGCGAACTCCCGAAAATCTGGGAGCCTTGTATGAATGAATAGTTTACTAGCGCATTGATTGTCCATTTCTAACAATGTATACCAAAAAAAAATTGTACTTAACGCGATATTTCATTTTTCTCAAAATTAATTGTAAAATCTCCAAAAGGATTAATTGAAAAATGTATAAACTTATGTTTCACACTTAAACTTGTATTTGGCGTTCTACTATTGCTGATGCGGGTTTTTATCATCACTGCTCCAAAAAACTCAATCGCACTTGCCAGAAAAATGTAATTTGTACTGTTGCATTGTTATTTCCTAATACATTAAATCATAACATTTAACATCATTGTGTAAGCCTACCCTATTTTGCTGTCAACGCAGTCTGCAAGAACATCGCTAATTGGTTAACTTTATTTAACCAAAGGCCTTTTTTACTCACTCTAACGCTATAAAAATGCACCATCAAGAGGAAAAATCGCTCTTTTTACGTCTGTCATTTGTCCTCTAAAGTTTTAGCAGAGATTAGTAGAGAGATTGGTAACTGCAATGCTACGGCTCGAGTTCACTTTTGGCCACTGTTTCGAGCGCTCCGTCGCGGCCAAGCGGCCGAACCAGGCACATATATTTTTTTTTATTAGAGAAGCGTGGAGGGGGTATACCGAGTGTGTGCCTACGGATTCGCGTGGAAATGGGCATGTAGGCACATACTTTGGAGACACGTGGAAGGGGTATACTGAATATGTGCCTACGGAGAGAAGAGTGGTGCATGGAAATGCCGACTACAGCTATATAACTATATACCCGCGTATATCATAGCGAAAAAAAGGGACGAGTCTTTCTCGCTATATACTAACTTTTTAAATAAGGTCTTAGAAATTAAGGGGAAATAGAGAAGAAGAAAAGATTTCACATCTAATATTTATAAAATAAAAAACCTTTCATTTAACAATTCTCTATAACATATGAAAGCTTAAGAGAGGCTAGCCATATTATTTTTCGAAAATTAAATCATACAAATAAATGTTTACGCAATTGGAAGCTTAGACTTTCAAGACATTTATTTTTTGATTCTTCTTATACTTTGGATTTTTGTTTAGTACTGCGTATCAAAGTACGTTGAAAAAATATTTAGCTTAGAATATTTTTTGAGGTTGATAGTATGGCTATAAGCACCTTAAATATAAATTATTATTTTTACTTATCATAATCGCTATGAACTGTATGCCAAGCTCCGGAGGGTATCAATGAACATATATGACTTTAGGTTATATGAGGTCTAAAGTTTGAATAGCTGAGATGGCTAGGGCTTATGCCTTTGACGGCATATTTTGGCGATTTGGGGTTCAATTCTGATTGCCATTAGATTTTTTTTTTTTTTTAATATAATTCAGTATTCTATTTAAATTTCTTATTGCAACTTTCATTTTAATTTATGAATATTGTCTCAACACTTTTTTTTTCGGGCACGTTAAAAAAATTTTATTTTTAATACTGTGTCACGTACATAGAATCCTACGCAACAACTGACTATTAAATAATTTATTACGTTAATAGTTATAGCCGGCAAGGCTAATTCATAATTT